TATCAGTTACATTTAAATAACTAATCCAAACACTCTTAAATAAATAATTACATACACTTTCACCGGTGAAAAAACTTTTGGGCTTGTTTGGCTAGGGCAAAAGGTACCTGTTTGCCCCTTAACTTTTTGACTTTTAGGGTTTTTGCCCTCCATATTACAATACATGGATTTTTACCCTCAATATTTTCGAGTTTGAGGAAATGAGGCAAAATTTAACGCCGGAGCTCACGTGTAGCACGCGCACCGTTGGCCTCCGTCAAGTTTGCGTATGTCAGCGCCAACTCAGAATTTTTTGACAACCTGGCATGCCAACTTGGAACCCCATGAGCGGGAAGTCTACCTGCTGCCAAATTTTTTGTGGGCCCCACCGCTGACTAAAGGTTCGAAAAAAAAAAAAAGAAAAACAAATGCCAGGAAACCGTCCGACTCCGAGCATTGTGTCGAGAACAAAGAAAAGCTTCAATTAACCCCACAACCCAGAAAAGGATCACAGAAGGAAACAACTTTACTCCACCCACCAACCGAACGAATCTCCATTGAAGGAATAGAATAGAACATTCAAAAGGGACCACAAAGCACAGACGATTTTGACACTGTTCTTGGTGCCATTGACAGGTATTTTTCCTTTTATTCTAACAAAATCTTGTTTAACTTTTACTGATATTTAGCATACGGGTCATGGATTTGTGTTAGAAGTGATTTTTAAGTAAGATTTATGGTTTATTTAGGATTAAAACAAATTTAAACAGTGTTCGTCACTTTTTAGGGATTTAGGGTTCATTTAATTTATTTAGTAATTAAACTGGAAAGTTATACTTTTCTGTTTTCTTTTACTTTTTCTGTTAGTGTTGAATTCAATTTCAATCATGATTGTACAAGTATTGAAGAAATTTTAGTTTAGGATTTATGCTATTATTGTAAATTAGTTATTTCTAAATCTATAAATTTGTAATCAATAACTAGATTTATAGATTTAATGCTTAAATGTGTGTTAATTTATATTAATTTATATCTTTTTCTTCCCATATGACAGCAATGGGGACATTAAGAATTCACCATAGTGGCACTTTTTGCATGAGTAGTAGTACGGATCTTAGGTATGCTGCAGGCGAAGTACATGATGAGGATATTGAATATCATCGTGTGACTTTGTCGTACTTAGAGGATAGGGTAAAAAGCCTCAGGTATATGCATTTTAAGGACATATATTACAAAGATCCTTATGTGGAAAAATTTGGTGAAGTAGTAAAGGTTATAAATAGTAAGCAGGAGCTTATTCACATGCGGTACCTTTTAAATGAAAGGGGAATTATAGATGTGTATGTTGAGCATGTCTGTGATGAGCCAGATATTTTAGATTTGCTTGAAGGTGGCACTGTTCTGCAAGAACCAGTTGATGAAGGTACAATGGACATTAGGGAAGGCTGTGTGACACAAAATTCACAACCAGGCCCAAATGGTCATGAAGCTCCAAAAACAGCAGCTAAAGGTGATGCTAATGAAACAGATGCACTGCATGAAGGTGATGCAGCCTAACAAGAAGATCTACAGAACAATGATCATGATGATGAGGAGTTGCCTGATATTGTGCATAATGATGCAGATGATGAGGATAGTGGGGAAGACTGTGTGACACAAAATTCACAACCAGCCCCAAATGTTCATGAAGCTCCAGAAACAACAGCTGAAGGTGATGCTGATGAAATAGATGCACTGCATGGAGGTGATGCAGCCCAACAAGAAGATCTACAGAACAATGATCCTGATGATGAGGATTTGCTTGATATTGTGCCTAGTGATGCAGATGATGAGGAGGTGCTTGAATCTATTCGCAATAAAAAGAAACATAAAGCCAGTGCAAGTGCAAGAAAAAATGCAGATGGTGCTGGACCAAGCGGCACAGTCCATGACTCCCCTACCACAGTTAATGAAGAGGGTGAAAGGGTTCCAATAGGAAATGATGACCATGGAGATTTGGGTTCTGATTCTAGCTTTGAAAATAGCGAAGATGAATTTGAGGTTTCTAGTGATGATTTAGGTGAGTACAATGTTGCAGATGAACATGAACTTGAAGAAGAAGAAGAAGATGTAAGAACTACTAGAAGTAGTGAGTTATGGTTTAATCCTTCATGGGCTACTGTTTGGTTTGAGGTAGGGATGAGGTTTGAGCATGTAGCACAGTTTAAGAAGGCTATAGCTAAATACCAAATTCAAAAAGGCTGTAAGTTGAAACCTGTTAAAAGTGACCCCACCAGGCAGAGAATTCACTGTGTTGGTCAACAGTGCAATTGGAGTATCCTTGCCAGTTTTGATAAAAATGACAAGACTTTTAAGGTGAAGACATATTGCAGGGAACACACTTGCTTTTGGAGTTTGAAGTCCAATATGGTTGGGTCGAGGGTACTTGCAGAACACCATAGGAACAGAATTGTTGCAAATCCGCAGATCAGAATCAGTGAGATAATGAGATTGTCTCATTTAGAATTAGGAGTTCATGTTTCAAGGGATAAGTGTAAACTAGCAAAGGAAAGGATTATGAAGGAGGTAAAGGAAACTCAGACGAAGGAATTTGCTCAGTTAAGAGGGTATGCAGAAGAGCTGTTGAGATTGTCCCCTCAGTCAAATGTTCAAATTGACAGTGAGCCACCCACAACTCCAGAGGGAAAACCTATGTTTAAAGGAATCTATGTGTGTTTAGAAGGATGTAGGAAGGGTTTTCTACAGGGCTGTAGACCAGTAATTGGAGTTGATGCCTGTTTCCTCAAGGGGATGTTCAAAGGAACTCTTTTGGCAGCTGTTGCAAGGGATAGGAACAATCAAATGTTCCCAATAGCTTGGGCTGTTGTTGACTCAGAGTCTACCAGTTAATGGACGTTTTTTTTTAGATGCCTAGCTGATGATCTATCAAATCACACTGGGCGAGATTTAACGTTCATTTCGAACCAACATCCTGTAAGTGTGCACAATCTATTATGAATTAATTTATATTATCAATATCTTTATGTTACTATAATCATCAATGCTATTTATTGTATAATTCAATTGACTTTATTATCAATCATTAACCTTATTTGTTATCATGATTGTACAATTTGGTAGGGGTTGATTAATGCAAGACAAACAGTTTTCCTCGAGTCTAGGCATAGATTGTGTGCCAGGCATTTATATGCCAATTGGCAAAAAATTTTCAGAGGGAAACTATTGAAGAAAAGATTCTGGAGTGCTGCAAGGTCAACATATGAAGGTCAATTCAACAAAAACATGGAGGAGATCAAAAATTTATCTGTGGAAGGTCATGATGCCTTAAAATCAATCCCCCCAGAGCTGTGGTGCAAGGCATTCTTTGACACATCATGTAAATGTGATGTGGTGGATAACAACATGAATGAGACCTTCAACAATTGGATAATGGATGTCAGGTATATGCCAATCATCCAACTGTTAGAATATATAAGGGTTAAGGTGATGGTCAGGATGGTTAAGAACAGAGAAAAAATCAGCAAATGGAGAGGAGATATAGCACCCAAAATTAGGAAGAAGTTAGAAGCAAATAAGATTGAAGCTGCCAAATGCAGATGTGAATGGAATGGTAGGAACCACTATGATGTTTGGCATTGAAATGACAAATTTGTTGTGGATTTGATTGGGAAAAAGTGTAGTTGTAGAGCATGGGATTTAACAGGAATTCCATGTCCTCATGCATTGTCTGCGATAGGTTTAGGTAACTACGACCCGGATGAATTTGTATCAAATTGGTACAAAAGGGTTAAGTATGAACGTGCATACAATGTACCAATCATGCCTTGTAATGGTGAGAAATTCTGGGAAAATTATCATGGGGAGCCACTAGAACCACTGCCATTTAGATGCAAGCAGGGTAGGCCGAAGGTGAATAGGAAGAAGGGTGATAATGAAACCAGAAAGGTGAAGGTGGACAAATCACGTGCTCACTTTGCAAGCAACCTGGACACAACAAGAGGGGATGCCCCAAAAGGCCATCTGAATGTGAAGTAAGTTAATTACTTACACCTGCTTTATTATCAACAAATGATAATATAATGACATTTTTTTTCCATACTCAATAGGGAGCATCAGCAAGCACTCACCAGCCAATACCAAGAAAACCTCCAACTTGTGGATATTGTAAGCAGCCTGGTCACACCAGGACAACATGCACTGCTAGATATTTTGTTTATGAAAATGTAAGTTTATTGAGTGGTAATTGCTTAGGATCTATAATTTCCTATTAATAGTGCTATATTTCTAATTATATGTCTATTCTTGTTGCTGTTTTTTTATCCTGCAGTCTGGTCAATCTGATGGACTAGGAAGAAAGAAGAAGCACAGATTTGGTGAATACATTAATTCACCA